ACTTAAAGGGTTAGTGATTATGGCTCCTCTGAGGACAACAGTGAAGTATTACTACTATTTTCCATTTCAAAAGGAAATATAAATTGAAGGTCATAAACCAAATTTCTTTCCATTTTTTAGAAAATGGATTTGAAGTTTAATATATCATAAAAGCTCCGTAATAGTTTCATTTTCACTCCAAAGTGGGAAGTATTTTCTGCATTCTGTGTTCTAACAAATATCAATTCTTATAGATGAAAAATGAGCAATTATGTAGCTCAGCCTGGCTGCCTTCAGGCAGGTAAATATCTACAGATTGTACTGGTCATGGGTCTCTTCTTAAAAGATCTTTAGTTAGACGGGTTCTGAAATCAAGGACCAGGTCTTAAACCACTGTATAAGAAAATACCTCAAAATCAGTGACTTAGAAGAGAAATCATTTATTTGTGTTCTCAGTGTTTTGCAACTTGGGGAGGGCTCTTTGGGGCAGTTCCTTTCTCCAGAAACTGAAATAAACTGACCTGACTTGATCACTGTCAGGCTCAACTCTCAGATGTCCTCACTGCTATGATGGCTAAGATGATACTAAGAGTTGGTTTGAAGCTCACTCAGAACTCTTAACGAGGCCTCAGTTCTCTATGAGACCTCTCCATGTGCTTGGTTGTGCTTCTCCTGGTCTTAGAGTGGTTGCATTTGAAAGATGTCCAACTGCCCTCAAAGTGTGAAAACAGATGCTGCCAAACCTTTATGCAATTTCTAACACATAGTACTGCGTATGCAACAGGTCCATATTTAAGAGGAGGCCTTATAAAGATGTCAATATAGGAAAGCATTGTAACTGATTATTATGTACTTCAGCACTATGCATACAGATGGTACTAATTGAGTAGTACTTATATGAGTGGATTATAGACATCTAGACCATCTGATCTCAATGATTTTCCACCTTGATTGCAAAGTTTCTCCTGGTAGCTAACCACAATTACCCCTTATTTTTAACCATATTTTTTTCTAAATTGAAATCACTATAGTTCATAGTTTATACATGGTCAACAGCATGTTCACAAAAGCATGCTTTTGTTTAAGAAGAAGTGCTATATTAGAGATTTATAATGAAATGAAAAAACAAATCTATTTTACTGCTATGTG